GTGACACAGAAACACAGTGGAATTCCATGGGGAAGATATTCCTCGGGGTGTAGCTGTAAAATAAATAAAACAATAAAGCTTTTATCCATCTAGTTGTACAGTTTCCTTTATGGGTTTTTTTCCCTTTTTTGTCTTGCATGTAATGTGTGTACATGAGTACGTAAGGAGAAAAAGGATGACAACTCAAAAAAAAAAAATCTTTTAATAAAAATTACTCATAAAAACCCTAATAAATTTCAAAGAGCAAGATATTCCTTAGTACATTTATAAAAGAACATTTGGTCCTTTTACAAAAAGCTCCCTTTTAATTTAAATACATTTCTTATTTACAGATTAAACATAAAGTATCATCTATAGTTGCAAAGCATATTGCACATTACAGAGAGAAGCATTTGTGTATTTCAATTAAGTTTCCCCAGAGTTTCCAACTCTAGATTTTTTTGTAAAAAGATTTATCTTGTGCATAATAAATAAAACACAAGTTGTGTTTTGCTATTTAAATCTAAAATAATATACCTTTTAAACATTATTCCTCTGCCTCTCAGAAAGAGGGAAGGGGGTCATGAATCAGGGAGTTCCACAGGTATTTGACATTTTCACCAGATTCACATCCCAATTCAAAACGGAGCATAATAACCCTGAGTCCTGCGAAGTCTGGGCATGCAGCCCAGCCCACCCCCCTTCTCACTTTCACAGGGGGACCTGCCCTGCAGGGAAGAGGCACTAGAGTAGGAGCTGATAACTGGGAATGGAAAAGAAAAGGTTAGGATTTTCTTTTAAAGTCCCTGTTCAGCCAATCTATGGCTAAGGCAATCACTCAGCCCTACCTTTTAATCAGCACTAAATCTGAACATGTCAAAAGAGAAAGAGCCCTCTAGAAAGAAGAAAGGAATGATGTTGAGTCTACAAAAACCAAAGTGAAGAATGACAGTTGGCAACCACTCACTAAACTGAGCTGAGAAAATTTTAAGAGGGATAGTTTTCTTTGGTGGGGGAGGGGGAAGGGAGGAGGGACTCAAAGCCCTCATATTGCACAACTGCACTTACCAAACCAGATAACTACAGCCTCTAATATCCATCTGCAGATTCTACCCTGGCGCATTTTCCTTTAAATACATAGAAAACTACTTAAGTGTCATGTGCACAATCCACGATCCAGGACAAGAAGAGCTCGGGACATCATCAGAACCCGGGGATTTAGTTATACAGAGAAAGTCCTGGCAGAAGAGCTGGAAGAACACTGAAGGAAAGGATCGAAACCAGAAGCTGGTTTTTCACAAAGAACAGTGCAATCACAGCTAGCAAATACTTCCTTTGTCACCTGTTCTCCCAGGAGAATGAAGTTCCTTAGTCACACCATCTAAAGCAGCTAGGCCTGCCCTGTAATGATTTGGAACATTATTGTGGAATAATTAGACTCCACCAAGCCTAACTGTAAGGCAACTTTCTTTTTTTTTTTTCCTTTTTGTCTTTTTCCGTGTCCGGCAACAGATCGCAACCCTCAGTGTCACCCCCGTACCGGACTGGGACCAGTAACGGGATCGCAACCCTCAG